TACCTCCTTGACATTTAAGGAGTGAGTGTATTTCTTTCACAACATTCCCACTCACTGAGCAAGAGAATGGGAATGATGCCCATGCATTAATAAGATAATAAACATCTCGCTCTTTACATTTTCCTCAGTCATATATCTTCCAGGTACCAATGCATACAGACGGAACGGATTATACATGACTTTTTAATTCTTCCCGTCATATACAACAAACAGTGGAGCAGACAGCCTACAAGAACACTGAGTATGCAGCAAGCCTTCTCCACCCTGCCTCACCCTACTGCTGCTTCCAAGGTGAATTGTGAAGGGAAACTCAAAATCAAAGCCTTTTTCTCCCTGCATGTAACTTTCACGTCAGCCCTCAACCGAAAACAGAGCTGAACTTACCTTATTACCACAGTCAGAAGCTCCACAAGAGCCCTGCACACGTTAGGCATTCTCCAAGGTGCACCAGCCAGCCCCTGCGTGGAAGCGTCATGTGAGTCTTCCATCATCAAAAGTTCAGAAGCCTGCAAACCCTCCTAAGATGTCTAAAGGATTCCCCTTGGAAGAAAGTGCATCGCACCATCAGGATACATCTGCTCCTACAGAAGTCAGCCAGAGGCCTCTCACTGACTCAGTGGAGCCACACTAACCCCCAAAACCATCCTCAGCACAAACACATTGAAGATTTTAATAAGCCACATTTTCTATGTGCCAGTTAGCATCCTCCAAACCAGGCTGACCTGACAGCCTAAGCACAATGCAAAATTAACAGGGATGAAAACTCTCCCAGGTTTACAGTGAGCATTACCTCCCATTAAAAATGCTTTTAGAAGGCAACCTTGAATACTCCAGAACTGGAATCTGTCAATGCATCAGTCCCCCTTAACCAGCATCCAATAAGTGGTGACTCTCTCACTCCGCCGCCGCGTTGCACAAATAGCTGTGCAAAGAGGAGCAGCATTAGCCTAACGTAGTCCACCAGCTGCAGCCTGTGTGTTTTTGAAGGTCTTTTGAAGCAGCACTAAGAAAGCAACACATTACACAGGTCATGGAGAGTAACACATTTTTAATCTTCCCTTCGTGCAGCAGTTGGGAAAATGCATGTTTTGGCTCCACATCAATTCTCACTTTTATCCTATCCGAACCTCAGAATTCTAGGAAAGGACACAATAGTGATTCCCTTTTTAATTTCCCTTGTTCTCTTTCAGTGGGTGAAGGCACATAGCACCAGTCCCAATGAATTTACCAAGCAACTCATTTGCTACAGCTTGTGTTTTTCAGTCAGATGTTACGTGAAATCATGACAGCAACAAAGTTTGAAAAAAGTGAATCATAAACTCTAAAAGGCCAATAAAAATAACCTCACATTTTAAACAATAATCATGATTTTTAAGCCCATGGCTACATGTCCTAAGTTCAAAATACCTGGGGGGTTTGCCTTATGATCCTTGAACATTTAGGCTGGAGACACTGGCAGTGCTGGACAGATCCTCAGAGCCTCTGAGCAGACACTGGTTGTGTCTTAAGAGAAATTTCTATTACTCCCACAGGACTGCTTTAAATGTCAAATTCTTCCTTCATAACAGAGCATAGCAACTCACTGATCAGAAATTGATCTCATTAACGGACGGGTGATGAGTTTCAGTGATCAAAGCCTAGATCCACCAGTAGGAGCCCACGAGTGAGGTCACCTGCTGCCATTCTAATTACTCCTCAGATGACTTCCAAAGCAACACATCCCTGTGTGCTTGTTGTACCGAGCTCAGCCTGCAGCTCCAACAGTTTACTCCTAAGTAGAAGTCCAACTGAAAGAGGACTTCCAGAGTGTCATTAAAACATTTAGTGACAGAAATAGTCTACTGATGCTGAGGATCCTGAAATTCCTGAAGCTCACACTATCAACAAACAGGATTTTGACAGACTAGTCAGATGTACGGAAGAAGCACTCTCGGTCCGTGGGAGCAAATCACTGCATACACAAACCTCCTGGGGTCAAGCCAGTAGCCACACCGAGTGCTCTGCAAGTAGAGTGCTTTGACAGTGCAGTCCACTGAAGAAACCTCCAGAGTATAAGATCCAGCTGAGGAAGAGAGACAAAATTGGGAAAAAGGAGTGATTGAAGACATACCTAAGATCTTTACCGTAAAACCACTTGTGCTCATTTGTTTGCTGAAGGTTAAGATGGAGAAAACATTTCTGAGCCAGGAGAACTGCCAGTTGCTATTTTAATACTTACCCAATTCTGCATATCTCCACAATCCACAAACAAGAAAACCAGAGTATCTAGGAGCATAAAACTACTTATTTTATACACTTGGGAATATAATCTAAGGAAGGGTTGAAGAGCTTCACTATCGGATTCTTTGGTAAACAAAATTTAAAGTAGTGGTATTCAAACTGTTCGGGCCTTTGGGAATGCCAACGGAGTTTGACATTTTAGGTATTTGGCCATGGTTTGGCTGCACAGACTCTTCTGGCTCTCCAGCAACACCACATAGTGTCCTGAAATTTTATTCTTGGACATCAAAAGCCACTCACAGCCCAGTGGGACAAACTGGCTATTGACAATCAAAAAGGCAAAAGCATCTGAAAGACATGCCAAGGTTTCCCTTGTTCTGCAGGGAGAATTTATGCTCATTCAGGGTACAGTTACTCGTTTTCTTCCACGGCACAACTCAGACTGTTTGCTCAAACCCAGAACTGCTCCAACCTTCTGATATACCCCAGCATCCATTCCTGCGTTTACAGCTATTGAGAGAGAAGGCGCACACTGTTATGCATTAGCTTCCCAAAATAGCTAACTACCAGTCTGAGTGGCTGACTGGGCTAAACAAATTGCAACCCAAGACTCCTTCCTTAGCCTCCCCCACCCCACCCCCTATTAAGGCAAAAAAAAATAAAAAATGTTCTCATTAGAAACTATCAATTATGAAGAAAATAGTACATCCAGTTGAGAGCCAGCTATTCAGCAGACCTTTTATAAATAAATCCTGCTGCTGAGAAAGCACCAGTGCTTATGTAACCATGTACCAGTCCAGCAAGCACGGCTCTGCTTGTGGCCACTGGTTTCAGTGGTCAGTGTTTCTATCCCAGAGGCAAAGGCGGCTTTCAGTCACTCCCCTCTGCATGCTCAGTGCTTCAGAAAACAGGATCAACTGCAGCTTTGAGAGATGTGCTACTGCTGATCCACTCTCAGGATGAGCTGGACTCAGGAGCCCATGTCTTCTCCTCTTGACATCCATCAATTTTCTGTTAAGGTCAGAAATGGGTCCCACAGAAAAGAATGGCATGAATGTGATTGACCAAAGGTCCTAATACACAACAAATAATGTCTCTTATTTAACAATAAGCTGATGCGCTCATCTCTAATGAACATCTAGGATTTTCCTTCTGAACACAAGCATCAACCTAGAAATTGAAACAAATTAAAGACAAACATACAACATTTATATGCATACAGCCTCTGTTAACAATCTTAATTTTGTGAAGTTGAAAGCTTATATATTCTCCTTTCTAGTCCAATGAAATCTAGGGCCCAAAGTCCTAGCCAGAGGCAATGTGACTGTAAACTACAGGCTTTCTGTTTGCTTTCTATTTATGAAAAGCCTCTGAGAAACTTTTGAGTAAAACACTTTCTTTTAAGCATTCTGCATTTCCCTACACGTAGTTTGAACTTTCTATGCTGTGAATCTGATTTTTCAGCAGCCCATCAGAAAGGGCAGCTCAGGGAGACAAACCTACGGCTCCTCCTGGCTAAACTCATGCACATATGGAATGAAGGTCTGCCCTACAAGCAAAAATCATTAATAAGAAAAGCTCTGCATACACAGCAACCACAAGATCAAAACTGGCAGTAAATAAAAGAAAAAAAAAACAACAAAAAAAAACAAAACAAAACACGAAACAACCAAACAACCAAAACCAAGTACATCTAATATAGATCCGGCATCAGTAAGCGTGTAGTACATTCTCTCTGCTCTAACATTTTTTCCAGGAAAGAAGAGACAAGAGTCTGCTCTTAAAAGAAAAGTGGATTTAAAAACAGAAAAAAACACCAGAAAAAACCCAAACAAACAAACAAACAAACACCCACAAAAACACACGCGTTCATGCCTTCTAAATGAAGATGTAGATGTACAGATATAAAATTTCCTCTTTCATTTTCCTAATTCACTTTTTCTTTGGAAATAATAATAAAAAAAAAAAGATAGAAGAAACACAAGTTTCTTTTCCTCCTGAAGTTCTGCATCCAAGGAAAAAAAGCAGAATCCCCCCCCAAAAATGACCCACCTAGCTCCATGAAAAAGAGACAAACTCATGATGAAATAGCACACTGAAGAGTGATCACACCAAGGACACCTGTCACAGGCTTCTGGGAACCTGCCCTTGCCCTCTGGACTGACCTTCCCTTTGGCAACACACAACGCTGGAGTGCTGGAAGAGGCAGCTTCCAGATGAAGCTCATTCAGGTAAAAAATATCCTCTGCATAACATCGTATCGGTGTCAACTTATTTTCTTCTACAGAAATAACTATATGACACACACACTCCTTCGGAAGAAGAAATGGCCAGTGCATTCCTTCAGTAGCATGGGGGGAAAGTGGAAATCCCCTGGAAACTATTGAAATTATGTCCAACCTGCAGGACGTCATTCGACATTATCTCCATCTTTTATGTGCACTGCTTTTTCTATGGTTTTCACAAGATCAAAAGACAAACAAAATGTGCATTAAGACCTTTGTCCTGACATTTTCTCAGTTTGAAATGTCCACCTGGGTCTAGCAGATGGTAAAACAAAGCATCTTTTATTCTTCTGTTCATATTTAAGCATGGTTATTCTCTAATCTGCCATCTGGAAGTTTCTGGGCTTTTCTATAAAGAATAACTTTTTACCTGTACTTTGAACAGAGTTATCACCTTAAAGAAAGAAGTATGACGTGCCTTTTGGCAATGCAAGTTATTTTTTCTTGTACCTTTTCTGCTTTTAAAAAATGAGTCAAGTTTTATTTTTAATCGCGCTTTTATTACCTTTTTCCAAAATCAAGCAAAAAACCCACCTCCAACAAATCAAAAAACCTCCAACAAATCACATCCTATACTGCTATATTTACACTGTAGACTTCTTAGTCTTTTATGTAAATATACATATTTTGAAGTAATATGTCTTTGGAAAAGAACACTATTTTTAGCTTTCTGATAATGGATAAATCTTCATTATCAACATAATGCTTTAAAAGAAAACTAATTTTCAGAGTTGTCAAATATCAAAATAAGGGTACAGATTAAGCGTATTCAACTTATTATGAACAAAAAGAAACCTCAAACATTACAATAACTCAAAATAGTGTACTATACCACACACATAACATGGCCAAAGCTGATTATTTTTGATGGACATTAGTTATCACAATTGTTCTCCAAAGCAGGAATAAAAAAATATTTTTAAAAAGTCTCAGACATGCTATTTGGAATATTCACTTCTTCTTGGCAATTAGTTTCTCTTCATAGTTGACTGGGATTATGCCACTGCATTCTTCTGTCTTTGATACCTGATGTTTTACAAAACCACGTCTAATTACATCAATATCACGTCCTAAATGATCCATCATGGTTGATACAACTGAAGGTGGGGCTTCTATGTCTATCAAAAAATACCTGCAATGAGAAACATACACACAATAAAGAAAAAGTTGATGCAGTACAGGTATTTTTAATTCAAGTAACTACTCTGTGGAATTTCTTAAATGGAGCTTTCTAATTTTTTCATGCATTTTGGTACCAGAATGGCTTGAAATAAAAGCTGAGTATTACCTTGATTTCAAATAAGAAAAGTTCAAGTGAAGCAGGCTCAGCCTGAACTTTTCTTTGTTGTACAGCACTGCTTACCCAAGGAGATTAAAGAGAGCTTGCTCTTCTTGTACCTAACTCCATTCATTTCCACACCTTGAACTGAATAGTCTTTAAAAAAATAAGTAGGGTGGCATATTCATTTCAGTTGCAAAATGCATCCTCCTCCTTTGAATTCACAGCGTTGTTTCTTTGGCGAACAGATGCCAGCATGAAGCATCTCAAGCTTATATACATACAGGCACATTTCTTCCTTTAAAGTTCTGCCTTAGAGCTAATGGAAATTTTAAAATTACAGCAAAAGAAACCCAAGGAGATGGACTTATCCCAAATTAGGCACATCTCCGATGTGAACACGGCTTAAATTCTCAATCTGAGAGTGGGAGCTGAAGCCGCGCACGGGCAATGCCCACTGGCACAGCTGATGAGCATTCTGTCGCGCTGGCCTTGGTGGGACTGGAAAGGTCCTTCCACATGTGCACAGCTCCAGGTAAGCACCCTGTGCCCACCACACTGCTATCTTTGGCATCTATAAAGAAAAAGACAACCACCTACCTATGGGAAGGAGAACACTGCTCTCCATTAATATCTTAGGCCACCAAGGTTACTTCTGCAATAAACTCCTTTGCTGAAGAGCTGCACCTTCTTCATGAGCTCAACTATAATTTTGCAAGAGGCTTTTCAAATTCCAGCACACCCGAGCAAGCAAAGATTTCTACTGCACTTTATGAGCCCCACTTCAGACAAGGGACACGACTACACACTGCACTAACTTCACCTCAGATGCAAATTCATATCTCAGAAGAGATCCCATCTCTTAATGTGAGATGTACCTTAAATTCGATAACAACGTTATGTCTGCTTTTCCCACAAGTTATGAGCAACCTAGTGCCAGCCATCGCACTAATGCAAAAAATGAGTAATCCATGTCACTGGCCACCTCTCCTCCCTGGAAATGCTGTGAATGAACCAGCACTGTCAACAGAGCTGCAACCAGGACACTTTTCAATCACTTTGCCTGCAGTTGCCATGGTACTCCCTACTGTACAGTAAAAAGATACTGAAACTGCCTCAAAAATCCTACTGAAGAGAACTAACCACACACCTTGTTTCCAAGACTATCAGTAATTTAAAGGCTAAGTGTACAGCACAGCATCTCCCCGCTAGCTATTTCATTTTAAGCCTTACACACTCTCTTATCAAAGCTCTCCCTTCCTTCTAGTCCACTCAAGCACAGCTCTTCACGAAGCATCAGTATAACCTGAAAGTGATATCCCTTAAATGAAGTCATATTATCCAGGCAGGATTAAGCATCCCAGTTTGATTTAAAAACTGTACCTAACAGAGAGGACTTCGTTCTGCAAGAGGTATGGATTCTTATTCAGTCAACTACAGCATCAGCATCACAGTCCATCTTCATAAAAGTAATCTTGGAGGGTAGGTCCCTAAGACCAGATGCTGAACTAGGAGTCTGAACAGGAGATAGAGGAGACGGGATCATGAACAACACACTCACTCATGTTCTTCACGCTGCATGGAGTTTTCATACAACTAAATGTGTTACATAAAAATATTACACACAGAGGAGACCTATCAGGCCAGAAATGACTCAAGCAGCATGTGTTGGATTACTGCACAGGGGTGGAATCCACCCATGGAAAACATGGCAAAGATGCTTCTCCTTAGCCAGATGTCCTAATCCTGAAGCTCTTACGCAGGCATCTACATCAGCAGCCTCTGAATTTGCCTCTGAAGTCTTTTTTTTTCAGAAAGACCAGACTGAAGCACTGAATTCTTGTACGTGAGGGGTCTGATGGGAAAAAGTCTCCCTGCGGCCCATACTGCAGCAACGAGTCCTCCCGAACAGATGCCCGGCGAGTGCGGGCTGTGGCCAAGCGTCACTGAGGCCAAGGGACCAGCGCCAGGTCACGTCAGCAAAGGAGCTGCTCCTGACTGCAGCAGGCTACTGAGAGCTACAGGAATAACTTGCCTCAAGAAGGATTTGGAGGAACCCTGGTGAGCTCAGTCCCCCCTCACACATCCTCACAGGTTTCAGTGGGGAACAAGATTTGGCATAACGTATTTGGAAAACAACGGCCCACCATTTTCTGGTCTCCAGAATTAAGAGCTGCCACCTGGTTAAAAGTTTAGGGAAAGAAACAATTTTTAAATTTGGACAATTCTTTAGAAATACTGCACAGCAACATCTGAAGGATGCACACCCCTTAAAAAAGGGAAAGTTGTGTTTTCTGTTAAAACCATTAAAAGCCACTGGTAAATTTAACAGATGACACTTAACTCTTCTCGTTGGGAAGAAGCCTTCCAAATCCTCTCACAGCTGCAACTAACAGAAAGGAGGATGGGGGAAGGAATTCTCACTGGTAATCCACCACCACCTTGCTGCCCCCTTCCCTTAGCAAGAGCATTCGTCCGTATTGCAATTCGTGCTCTTTGCTGCACCATTTCAGTCCCACCATTTCTCGAGAATTTAATTTCATTTCTGCTTGCAAGTCGTATGCTGCTTTTCATTGTGTTCTTAAAACAGCAATAGGGTTGGGATTTTTTTTCTCCAAAGGCTGCTTTGCAACTTTGTGCTTTCTCACATTAGCAAAGGGTGGAAATTTCCACTGACGCACTGTTGATAACTGAAGGAGAAGGGGGGGATGGGAGGATGAGCTGTTACAGCATATCTTTATGACTCCTTGCAGAATAGGTATTTTATCTGAGGATACAAAACTGCAGTAGTTAGGGACAATGCCATTTTTTAAAAACAACCACCACTCTTCAACATTAACAAGCAATGAATGCCTTCCTGTGCCAAAAAAGAGAGAAGAAAAAAAGGCCAGAGTAAAAAAAATATTATTTCTTTATTAAAGAAAGGGAAGAAACTAACGGCTGCAAAAGCAATAACCAAACACAATTGACAATGCAAACCCTGAGGAGATCTGGAACCCCTTCCCCCCCAAATTATACATATTTAAATCAGCTGTCACGAAGCTGTGGGGTTTTTTTAACCCACTCTCAATAAGGCATGCAGTGATCTATGACCCGATACGCAATGCTGTAGCTACTGTTTGTGTAGTAAACAAAAGCAATCCCAGTGAGACTTAAAGATAGGGAAAAATACAGAATGCAGGAGGGAAACCACCTCATTCTTGCAAGCAAAAATGCAAAAGCATTTAGGCTCTCTAGGAGTCAGCCGAGTCATCAGGGGAGAAATGCAGGAAAATTCCACTGATTCACTATGAGACCACAGTTATTTTTGTCATCCTGCTTGACTGTAAATAGAAGGATGATTTAAATACAGGAGAGCAGATTGAAACATATTAAAACAATGCATTAACTGGAAAAAAAAATTTCAAATATCATATGATCTCAAATAAAGGAGGACATGCCTTTGCATATGAGAGAAAAAGGAAAAAAAAAAAAAAAAAAAAAAGGAAGAAAAAGCCCAGTTTCATTTATCCTTTTTAACATATTCAAGCCAGAAATTGTTTGAGTCTCGAGTCCTAATGATACTCAAATATTTTTCTTTTCTTTCAAACTGACAGTCTAGGATTTCAAAGAACCCTGAAACGCACCTGGATCAAAACTCACTTTTAAATCTGCCTAGATTACAACTCACTCGGCCTGGGGAGCCAAGGAAAAAGCACATGTATGGTGGACTTGGAAGATGCTGTGAGGTCCCATGGTTGTACCCAAAAAGTGTTTGTAGCTTAAATTTCTCCTTTACATAGTGGCAATAAGTGTATGTAAGCTTCCCTGGTGGGGAGGTGGAAGATACAAAGGAAAGAGAATGTTCTGATGAACAGGTAGAGGTGAAGCATCAAACAGGGAAACAGGAAACCAACCAGAGGCAAGCAAGCTGTGGCACTCGTGGGAGAGCAGCTGGGCATTCGTTCCCATTAAGGTAATCCTATACAAATCAAATTTTTTTGCTACCTGAACGATCACTTCATCTTTGGGACCCCTGCATTGCTCTGAAGAGAGGTAGTTGCTTTTCTTCTCAACTCTTGTGGTAGCTACCCTTCCTCAGCAAGGCAGGCAGGCAAGTTCATGCTCAGAAGATTATCATTTTGTAGCTGGAAGGACTAGTACACGTTACTTTTAGCTTTTAAAAAACACACATGGAGTAGATGGAAGTCCCTTGAAGATCACAAGGATATCAACGGGGACGTGCCAGATCAAAACCAAAAGCTGGTACCTTAGTAACTAGACTGTGCCACAGCAATGACGCAAACAATCCATAATGAGCAAGTACTTTTGGGAAAACTATGTTTTACAATCCACAGTCTTCAGAAGTTTCATTTGCCAAATTCCATACATAGATGCCTGTTATTAAGCTAATTTAATAATGGAAAGACAATCTGCAGCTTTGCAGAAAAATAAAAGAAAATACTGTTACACTGCAAAAGAGAACCAGTGTGACCTATTTGGAGTATTTGAAAAGTCATGATCACTGGGCAGTATTTGAAAAGTTTATAAAATTGTTATGAACGGGTCCGAAGTTACACCGCAAGTATTAATTCTGCTTGTGTCACTTCTTTGCTTTCTGTATAATATACGGCTAAAAAAAAAAAAACAAATGGTGACTGATTCCCATCCCACCAAGCCCACTATTTGAAGGCAACCATCACATTTAATCAATATGCTTGCATAAGGATGCTACAGAATTCAGCGCATCAGAAAATCATACTGGAGCCTTAATATCACAAACTATTGCACAGTGCCATTTCTTCTGAAAAGCAGCAAAATTGAAAACGGCACTCCCACAGGTAAGGTGGAGGTAGAAAAAACATTTCAGGGCT